GCTGGGCCACTGCCGAGATGTCTAGGCCACGCTCATGGGCTGGGCCACGGTCGAGATGTCTAGGCCACAATCGTTGCTTGGCCACGGCCGAGATGTCTAGGCCATGCCGATTGCTTGGCCACGGCCGAGATGTCTAGGTGAGTGAAACTTCCCCACTGAGCAAAACATGCCATCTCCTTCTCGGTCTTTCTATGTCGTCCCCGTCGTTCATCCAATCCGTTCTTCAGCGCATGGAGCCTCCCTCTGTTTTCTTCTTCCGTCGTTCTAAGTTGCCGTCGGTTTTTTTTTTTTTTTTTGTATGTTCACCCTATTTCTTTTCTTTTAATTTAATTTATTTTCGAATTTTGTCGCCAGAATCAAATCTTCTTCTTCGCTCTCTTGCTTCTTCTCCCGATGCTGCTGCGGCTTCTCATTTCCTTCCTCGGCTGAGCTGGAAGGACCCAATTGTGTCAGATGTTGTTTGCGTTGGACTTCAAGCCGGTCAGGTTTGGTTATGCCAAAACTGAGGTGGAAAGAATGCACCTGGACGTGCAGAAGGCTAGGTGCATGATGATCTGCTTCTGCATGTGCAGACGCCCTCGTGCATTCTGACCGGGCTAGCTTTGCCCGGATAAGTATATGCACTTAGCTATTTCTGTCCCGACCTGTGAATTGTTACCCGGTGGGTTGAACCTATGGTGTATCGGCAGATCAACATTTATGACAGTATATCGCCATCGTCGTCGCCTACCGTCTTTTGCCAAATAGGACGTACGGTCATTATATAGCTGTATTTGTGCCAACTCTCAGTCCAGATGCACAGCGATAATGACCCCGTACGTACTATGGGGGGGAGAAACGGTAGCCCCTCTCAGACAGGTATGTCTAGATTTGTCAGTCTCCCATCTCACCACTGTCTCAGCGACGTCTCTTATACACATCTAGATGTGTATAAGAGACAGCCTTCCTCCTTTTTGTCACATGTATGATATGCAATGATCGGATCTCACTCAACGTCGCAGGGACACGATATCTGCATGCATGCTGAATGCGATCGACACGCT